GGGCAACATGACAAAACCCCATCTGTACAAAGAAATATAAAACTTAGCTGGGTTTGCTACTCAGGAGGCTCATGCCTTGAGCCCGGGAGTTCAAGGCTGCAGTGAGCCATGAGCATGCCCCTTCACTCCAGTCTGGGAGACAGAGTGAGACCCCGTCTGAAACAAGCAAACAAACAACACACCCCTCAAAAAAAAAACAAAAATAAAAATAAAATAATATCAAGACTATTATTTGAAGAAGGAGATATGGAAATGGAATCTGGCAGGGACAGAGAGGGGGCTTTGATTTCACCTGTAAAATTTTATTTCTCAAAAAATAAAGATCTGAGAAAAACAGCAAACTGTTAACATTTATTAAATGTTAAATATTAAGTCAAGGAGGAGGATACATTATTTCATTATTCTCTAATCTTTTTGTATTTGGACATGTTGATAATAAAAATAGTAAACAGAATGCATTTAATTGCCAAAACATAATTCAAAAGTTTCCACCCATGGATTTTATTACTTCTCCCAGTTAATTTTTGAAAAAGGTAGGGTGGATTTCAAAACATCACATATTACCAGCATATGGTGTTTCTTATAGCTGGCCCTATTTCATGGGTTTGGGTAGTGCTGGCACAGGGACTCTAAGGAATGTATTTTCATTATTCTAGAAAGAGTTTTAATGGTCTATTGTAGATCAGCGTTAATGGGAGTCATGTAGATAAATCCCCAAGCAGGCTTTTCAACAGTTGCATTTTTTGCTGAGCCAAAAATAAAAAAGCCTTCCTCTTGCCCTCCTAGATAATTCTGCTAAGCAAGCATGTTGTATATTTTCAGGTACTTCAATGAAACAATATGGAAGCATTTATTTAGGGTGTTTTGCATTGCAAACTTCAGCAGAATGGCAAGGCAACTAATCACGCCTTTGAATCTCTCTAATGAATAACACTTTGAATATGTTATTGATTGGTGGAACAAACAGCACCATAGCCCATTTTCTCAGTGCTGTGTATTGAGATGCGCCTGGTGTGCTCTGAGTTTGGCAATTCTGTGTTCACTGTATAAATTAACCGGGACAAGGGTCTGTGACTTTAGAATTGCAGTGTGAAGGTTAAATATACCATTGACCATTGACCTTTTTATGTCCAAGGTACAGTGTATTATGTTTAAAATGTTCACCAGATTAATTTTGTCAGACATTGTCTACATTATAACTAGAAAACCATTCTCATTGGCAGAAACAGGAATGTTTGTAATAGATATATTTTAAGTGCCTCAATTGCATTGGCATTTAACATTGCTGAGATTATTAAACATGATATTTATTTATGCATTTATATTACTTATTGACTGCCTGTCATGCACTGTTGGATCTAGGAATAAAGTGACGACCAAGACAATTCTGCTCTCTCCAAATTGTTAATAATTTAATGTGTAATCGAGTCAAGAAAGTAGGTAATTATAAGACAGGAGAATAAGTGCTATGTGTAAATAAAGAGTGTTGAGGGAGCCCACAGCAGGGAAATCCAGCCCAGTCTAGGGTGATAAGAGTATCAAGGAAGGCTTCCTGGTAGAAGTGTGTATGCTGAGACTTCATTTGGATACTGAAGGAAGAATAGTCCAAGCAGAGGAAACAGCACATGGAAAGGCCCAGAGACAAGAGAAAGCATACTTTGGGCCAAATGTTCAGGTCATTTCTTTGATATGAAGAGTCTTCACCACTCTGTGGCTGTATCTCTGAGATTCTCAGCTCAAGTCACCCTGAGAATGGCCACTGAACATTAATCATCGAAAAGTCCTAGGTTTGATCCTCAGCGCAGTGCACAGGCCCCACCAAAGACCAATTAAGTCAGAATCTCTAGGGGCTGGTCCCAGGCATTAGGACTTTTTTTTTTTTTTTTTTTTTTGAGACAAGGTCTCACTCTGTCACCATCCTGGAGTACAATGGCATGATCTCAGCTCACTGCAACCCTGCAACCTCCGCCTCCCAGATTCAAACAATTCTCCTGCCTCAGCCTCCTGAAAGAAAACTGGAGCCTCGGGCTGGGCTGCGTGAGGGAGGAGGGTTCATCATGCTTAGTGGCCTAAGGAAGACCCCGTCGCCAGTCCCTCCATGCACCACCTCAAAGCCATGCACCATCTCAGTCACAGTCCAGAGCAGTACCAAATCTGCCCAGGACACCTACCTAGACAGTCAGGACCACAAGAGCGAGGTGACTAGCCAGTTGGGCCTGAGCAACTCATTGGACAGCCTGGACAGCAGTACCCAACTGCCCAGTGTGACACGGGGTGGACTTGCCCCAGCCCCTGAGGCCCCAGAGCCACCCCCAAAACATGCAGCTCTGAAAAGTGAACAAGGGACGCTGACCAGCTCTGAGTCCCACCCCGAGACCGCCCCCAAAAGGAAACTGTCATCATTAGGAAAACAAGTAGGGGTTCCTTTTAGGAAAAAAAAAAAATGGCACGATGAACCCTCCTCCCTCCCGCAGCCCAGCCCGAGGCTCCTGAGTAGCTGGGACTACCACACCCAGCTAATTTTTATATTTTTAGTAGAAATGAGTTTCACCATGTTGGCCAGGATGGTCTTGATCTCTTGACCTCATGATCTGTCTACCTTGGCCTCTCAGAATGCCAGATTACAGGCGTGAGACACCACGCCTAGCCAAGACTTTATAAAAGCTCTCCAGATGATGTGAATATGCAGTCAGGTTGAGAAATCACCGATTGACAAGACAAATCCTGACAGATGTGTTGATTGTCAAACATGTAAGGCAAGTCAGAGAGGCAGAAGAGCTGTTCAAAGACTGCCAAAATGATCTGGCAGTGATGAACTGACCTTGGGGATTACAGCTACCAGCCTTCTCATGTATAAAATCATGAAAAGAGTGACTCGTATTCTAGCACTGGTTCTTGACATATTCAGACAGCATTTCACAGGGTTTTTTTTTTCAATTCATTAATTCATTCTCTCCAAAACACTTATCTAACACTTCCTATATGTCAGTATCCTAGATGCTGTGGATAAGTATATGAGTAAGACATTAACTCTACATTTGGAAAAAAAGCACCCAGTCTAGTGAAAAGTGAGTAACCACAATCCTAATCAGAGATGGCTGTGCATTGCCCAGTTGGGGAATGGGGTCAGTCAAAAGACTAGAGAAGGGCTACATTTTGAAGAATGAATAGGAGTTTGCAAGATGGAGAGTGCAGTTCATCGAGACAGAAAGACTTTGTGCATGCTTGAAAGCTTGAAGGCTGTGAGAAGTGTGGCTTGAAAAAAGTGGGCTGGAAAACTGAGTTGACCACCAAAGATCAAGAGACCATTCTCTCCTATTGCCAACTGGCTACAACTCATGCTCTGACAGTCTTATGTAACTGAAAGCTTTGTGCTCACAAGTATCCATAGGGTTGGAAAGACCACCTCATATCATGGTCATTGGAATACAGCTGATCGCAGAAATCAGGAGCTCAAAGTTCTGAGAGTGGTCCAAAGACAGCTGAGGATATAGTGTTCTGCTGAGGCTTTGAGGACCAGCTGAAGCACGTCTCTAGTACTAAAGGTGTGTGTCACTGGGCAGGCAGTCTCTAAGATGGCCTCCAAAGATCTCTGCCTCTTGGTATTCACTCCCTTATGAAATTCTCTCCCGTTGAATGTGGACTGGACTTATTGACCTTTTACTAAGGATAGAGTAGGATAGAAGTGTCACTTTTGAGATTAGGTTATAAAACCTAATCCTCCACCTTTGGTGTTGTGTGTGTGCGTGTGTGTGTGTGTGTGTGTGTGTGTGTGTGTCTTTCTCTCTTTCTCTCTCTCTCTCTCTCTCTCTCTCTCCCTCTCTCCCTCTCTCTCTCTCTCTCCCTCTCCCTCCCTCCCTCTCTCTGTCTGTCTCATTGTTCATCCTGGAATAAACCAAATGCCATGTTTTGAAGCAGTACTGTGCAAAGGTCCTTGGGGTAAGGGACCAAAGCCCACCAGCACCCATCCCTCCCCAGTCATTCCTTCAGATGATATGGCATTCCTGGTTGACAACTGGCTGCAACTTACTGGGAGACCTTGAGTTGGAGACATTCAGTTAAACTCTAACCTGGTTCTTGACCGACAAAAACTGAGAGATAATTAATATTCCTTGTTTTAAACAAGAAACATTGTTTCTCTGTCTCTGGATACTTTGTTACACAGACATAAATAGGATATACAGTCACCATTCACTGAGTTTCTATACATCTACATCCTCTGCGAAGACCCCACAGGTTGGCTACAAAGAGTTCTATTGTTCCTGATCATGATTGCCCTGCCTTGAGAAATAAGGTTTATCTCAGGCCTGAAATATATGTAAAAAGAAGAATGAAACACTAAGAGATTCAAAGTCTCTTCTGATGCTACCAGTTTAAAATGCAAGATGTTGAAGATTATAGTTGTTGGCAGTATTAAATGTGTTGTCAAATGGCACTCTTTTTTCATCTGAGAGTGATGCCCCACTTCCTCTCTCTTCCAATCACCCACACAGCACCAGAGTGCATGAAACATTCAAAGCTGATCAGGAACTCAGGATAGCATCTCGGAGTCTTACTACTGATCTTCTGCCAAGCACAAGCCTTTTTCTATTTGGTTCTTTTTTATTTTTATCTATTTTGTCACAATCCTGAAATTTAGGATGATTTAGAATGTGTGTGTTTATTCAGCCTTTCTGATACACCTTTCCTTTTATTTTCATGTGATGTAATTATTTTACCCTTCATTTTTGTTCACACACAAAAGATGTTTTGCATGGTAACCTAATAACCTGCCCAGTCTTACTCTGACATAGAAACTAACTTGAAAAGCCAAAAACTACAGTAAAGATAATTTGATAAATAAAAACGTGCGTTATCTAATATGTTGATTTATTTGTTGACATATTTGGCAAACTTAAGGTTAAAAATACATAATGCTGCAACATATTAGAATCCTTCTAAATGAACAATTTATTCTGTGTCAAGAACCTAACCCATTTCTTCTTAACTTTGTAACACAGGAGAAGAAAACCTCCTGGCAATTTTACGACGAAGGTGGTGGAAGTACATGATTTTGGGACTCATAGACCTGGAAGCAAATTACCTGGTGGTCAAGGCTTACCAGTACACAACTCTGACCAGTATCCAGGTACCAATGGTTCTTCTTCATTTCTCAGCTCCCTCTATCCAGATGTAGTTTACTTTTAGTTTAGTCCTTAAGAATCTGTATGCTAGTCTGTAAATTTCACAACAAGAGGGAAACTGGTTTTATAAAAATTAATTTGAACTTTATTTATATGCCTTACAACTTTTTAAATTTGAGTGTAATTGGACATCTTTTTTCTCTTTGCTTCGAATATATTGCAATTACTATTGACAATGTGGAAAAATAATTTGTGGTTTTGAATGCTGTCAACTAATGTTAGTAGGAGAATTATTAATGAGTATAAAAACAAATCAGTTTTAATCACAACTTATAACTTTTTGGAATGCTAATAGACTTTTATTAAATAATCGAACTGCCTAATAATCTTTTGTTTTAGCTTTTTTTAATGTGTAGAATTAGCAACCTGAAGGGACAGGATTTTTCCCAAAAGCGCAAGGATTACATTCTTAAAATGTGTTATTCATGGAGATAACTACTGTGTTCCTCTCTCCCTTCCTACCCTCTCCCTCTCTTTCTCACACACATGAACACACACACACACACACACACACACACACACACACATACATACACAATTGCAAGTTTACCTTAACTTTTCACAATTTTTGACAGATATATATATATTTCTCATTATATACCGTAAATTCTTAACTATTTTTGTTTCATCCTCACTTCTCTTTATATGGCAATATTGTTAATTTCATGCCATTGCAAAGCTCTAGGATAAAACACAAAACAAAACATCATTCTCACACTGAATTTAGTTCAGCTTTGAGACTCCCTGCCATCTTGTTGATTTGCATACAAACAACAAAAACAAAAATGGAGAAACAAATAAGCAGCAAAGCACTTGAAAAAATTTAGATGAAATAGAGGGGGTGGGAAACTACCTGAGCCCAACTTAGTTTTCCTACCATCTGGTTTTCATATGAACTTCAAAGATAGCTTGAAATGAAAGTAATTATTGGTAGCATTTTTCCAGGACCACTTCCATATGCACTTTGTGTTCCAAGAGATTTTATGGGATGAGATTTCTAGTGAAGGTGCATATTAAACAAAACAGAGAACTGATAAGGAAACCTGAGCCTGGTCCCTTTAATCCTTAGTATCCTGTGACTTTCAGACTGATGTTGGAAGAGAAACAAGGCAATAGCCAGATGCCCCTTGAGACTCCAGAAGGAGGGTATTCTGCCTCTTGGCACTTGCCTTTTTAAAAATTTCCTTGTATGAAATCCTGTCTCTCCCTTTTAGAACTTTCTTTTCTCTAACTTTTAGAGCTCTGCTCTCCCTAGAGTTGGCTTTGCTTTCTTATTTCTACTTGTTCATTTTTCATCCTTTCCAAGATGAAACAGAGACTCTCAAAATGCCCCCATGCACAATATATAACATTTCTATTGGTTGATAAAAAGTATTTGGGGCTACTCACACTCTCTATTCTCTATACATTGTCAATTCTGTTAGGATAATTTTAAGGATCTTGAAAGTAAGGACTATGACTTTTTAAAATTAATGTATAAATCTACCTGGTACAGCATCATGCATAAATTAGCATTTAGACATAAACACACCAAATATAAATATGATTAATCCATCACCTAGGACTCACCCAGTTACATTTTGTTTATTTTGCTTAAGACCTCATGAATTCTAAGAAAACACAGATACACAAGATGGCTGCAAATTCCAGAGGAATAATGCAGTGCATATCTCTCTCTCTTTTTCTGTCTCTCTCACTCTCTCTCCTTTTTTTTTTTTTTTTTTTTTTTTTTTTTTTTTTTTTTGTCTCACTTTGTCACTCAGGCTGGAGTTCAGTGGCAGAAACATGCCTCACTGTTGCCTCAACTTCCTGGGCTCAAGCGATCCTCTGGCCTCAGACTACACAAGTAGCTGGGACTACAGGCATGCACAGCCATGCCTGGCTAATTTTTGTGGTTTTTCTAGAGATAGGATTTCCCCATATTGCCCAGGCTGTTCTCGAACTCCTGGGTTCAAGAGATCCACCCAATTCAGCCTCCTAAAGTGCTGGGATTACAGGTATGAGCCACATGCCCAGCCATATCTCTTCTTTAACAGCAATAGTTATGATGTCCTTGGTATTCACGTCTCCATACAGTAAAGCTTCAAAATGGAAAAACCTTTTAGATATGTCATAGTTGCACCAATAATTTAGTATGCTGTGTACATATGAAATGAGTTTCATAAAATTGGTGAATTTATCACAAGTTTAATTTTGAAAACTTATATATATTTTTATGATAAATACTAATACACTGAAAAATATTATGAGACTAAAAATTATTGGCAGTGTCCTCTTTATGTATATCAACATTAATTATTTGGCGCAATCTGAAGTTGTCACTAGAAAAAAACAATTATTTGTTTCTTTCTTTCCACCTCCCCTTCTCTCTTTCTCATCTTTGATCAGAAATGGTGTAAGAATATTTCCCACTACTGATGTACCATAAACACCTACGTTTCTCTCTCTTAAACACACACACACACACGCGCACACACACATGCACACACACACTTTGCTACTTTTTTTAAATTAACACCCTGCTCAAGATGTTTCTATTACTTGAAATATCCTTTATGCCTCTCCATCCTCTGCCCATTGAAGTCCTATTTATGTCAAGGTCCTCTGCACCTTAGGATGCTTTCAAATTATAAGTAAGGGAAATCAGAAACAGAAACTGTCTTCTGAAATAAGGAAATGTAAGCCAGGCATACAGTTGTGCACCCCTGTGATCCCAACTGCCCAGCTACTGGAGAGGTTGAGGCCGGAGGATTGTTTGAGGCCAGGAATTCAAGGCTATCCTGGGCAATATAGCAAGATCCCATCTCTAAAATAATAATAATAATAATAATTAATAATAATAATAAATAAGGGAATTTATTGATTCCCATAACTGAACATCTAAAGAAAGGATGATCTTCAGGATAGTTGGCCAAATGTCTTACTAATGTCATCAAGAGCTCAGTTTTTGTTTTTTGCATATTTTCCCTCTACTGTTCCTTCTACTAGATTTAACTTAAAACAGCCTTCTCTTATGGTCATAAGATGGTTTTTATCACAAACTGGGGATACATATTCTTCTTCTTTCATGTCCAGTGAGAGACAGCAAAGATTCTTGCCCACAACCATTGAATAAAAGGCTAGTGCTGTATGCCAGTTGGGCCACACTAATGGCCAAGGGGAATGCTATGAATTAGTTGGCTTAGACCTGGAGTATCTGAATCAATAGAAGATGAGATTCTCTCACTAGTTTAGCCAAATGTTTCTCAATAGAAGTACTTCTGGCATTTCGGGTGAACAGTACACACTGATAGACTCAGGGTGGGATTAACACCATCCAGTCACGTATCTGTCACCCATTAAGGGAGAGGTGAGGCAGATGGGTGCAGGAGGAAGAACCACAATGTCTCTACACCTGGCATAGCTCCCACCTCCCATCAACAAACCCCGCAATGAGAACAGGTCTCTCTCTTTCTCAATTCTGTCTCCGGAGGAGCTCTGCTTTTTAGCTCTATTTTGCAGTCTTTTACCTGAGAAGGATGTTTGCATTCCCATCTACTCCACCAAACTGAGCTCTTTAGAGCAAGGAGAATTTCTTGTTCACCTTTGAATCTCTAGTACCTAGTAGAAACCCCAGCACATACTAGATACTCAATAAATGTTTAAAGAAGTTAATTTTATACATTGATTTCTAGTATTTTTGAGCACAGAAACTCCCAGTGGGCCTTTATCTAAATGTAGAGGCCCCTAGAATGTTCATACAGGTGGGGTGGGGAAAGGGAGAGAGGAACATTGGCTTCACACCAAAGCTGGACCCATTAGCCCAGAGTCAAAAATTATTAATGGACCTAAGGGGAAAATGAGAAGGGACTTTCCTGTTTGGAATCATAGTTGGCTTTTCTTTTTTCTGTTGAGCATTGAAACATTACAACAAATTGTTTCTTAAGTTCAGTGATTTAAAAAAAAAATTTTTTTTTCAAGTATGTTTTGCCCGTGAACAGTGACAGTTTATTCTTAATAGCTGGTCTCCTGATCCTCAGGTATTTAATTCAAACCTATGTTCTACACCATCACTATATTCATCCTGCCGTCTCTCTCAAATTAGCCATTTGACACCCTATTTAATGCCGCATTCTATGAAAAAGTTTATTTTAATTCTGTAGTAAAAAAAAAATAACTTCAGTGAAATACTAATTAGTCTTCACTGTAATTTACTGAGCAAGGAACAGGGAAGTAAAAAGTCAAGTTGAATCTAGCAGTTCTAGAACCATTCTGCCACTTATAACAAATACATCTATTAAATATTAAGTGTTCAGAACAGAAGGCATTTGCTCTGGGAGCCATGTCTGTAGTGCTGTTGAGTAACAGTTCTGTTCACACACTGCAGATTGGTGGAACTGACAAGAACCCACAACGATTTTCCCTTGTTTCTATAAATATTAATTGAACATATGATATGTGTTTTACTCATATTAATCAATAAAGAAGACACATTTATGTAGCATCTGAGAAGTGCATTCGTTACCGCAGGTGATTTAAAGAGAAATGAATCAGCCTTGCCCTACAGGAATTTATGAACTTATAAAGGGGATTAGAGGCACAGTTTAATGATAATAACACCAGGTGTGGCAAGAGAGCAGACACCTAAGTGCTATGATTGTCAAAGGAGGCAGAGATGATGGTTGTATGAAAAGGCAAGAAAGTGTCCATTCAGATGGGTCTATGAGATTGGATAAAATGTGGAGAGGATAAAATGTAGGTATAACTCTGCATATGAAACAAACCTCATAACAGAAACCTGAGGACCCAAAACTCAAGGAATATGATTGGAGAACAATTATTTTCATCTGATTTATACAGTCACTCCAAAAGTAATTACTGAATACTTTGTGTTTAAGACACTGTATTTTACTCACAAGTACATGTACAAAAATAAACACTGTACATATTCTCACAAAGCTTCCAG